GGGCAGGGGAGAGGCAGTGGTGGGGGATGGCCGAGCTCAGGTTGCCCCCCCCCCCCAGCTCAGCTGGGCCACCCCAGGCCCCATCCTTTCCCCAAAGGCCCCATCAGGAGACAGGGGCTAGGCTCGTGTTGGGATTTGTCCCAGTCCGGCAAGGAGAGACAGGGTGGTTGCTGGCCAGGTCGGGAGATCAGTCTTTCCTGCAAGTTGCAGGTGCCGTGCACCCCTCCCCTATCCCCAGCTACTGCAAATGCTCCCACCCGCTGCAGCAGCGCCGGTGCCTCCTCGCCACGCTGGAGCCTGGCCCTCTGCCCATTGATGAGAAAGGAGTAAGGCTGGTGCTGTGGCCGCCCTCGCTTGGGGTCCAGCCCAGCGTCCTCTCTCTCTTCTGAGCAGAGCCTCTCAACCCTCCTGAGCAGAGACCAGCCAGGGCTGGGAGTTCCCCAGGAATCCACGGTCCTGCCGCTGCAGGGCTGGGTTTGAATCTTAGCCTGGGAAGAACCTGAGAGATGATGGGGAAGGGAGCCCAGAGAGGGAAATGGATTGACCGAGGTCACACAGTGAGGCTGTGCCCGAGCAGGACCCTGGCCCAGGGTATGCTGGTCTTTGGAGCGGGGTTGCCCTCACAGCCCCCTCTCCTGCTCAGAGCGTGGAGCACCGCGTGCTGTCACGGGATCCATCCGCTGATCTGGAGACCAAGCAGCCTGACTCGGGCATGTCCTCACCCAACACCACCATGTCAGTCCAGCCACCAAACTTTGACCTCAGCTCGCCCGCCAGCACCCTGTCCAACTACGGGTCCTGCTCCTCCGGCCACTCCAGCATCAAGGGCCGGCGCCCCCCGCGTGGTGAGTGGGCCTGGGGAGAGGGGGGAGGGAGAGCCAACTGGAGCCAGAGCACTGCGCCCTGAGGACCATCCCTGGGCCCACTCTGCTCGCAGCTGACACTGGAGGCTGCCCAGGTCACCAGGAGGGCTGGTTCTGGGGAGGACAGGTGACACTCACGCTTGTGGGTGTCCATCACAGACATGCCTGTACACCCACAGGTACCCTCCCGCCAACAAAAGCCGCGTGCAGCCCACACGCAGTTCAGTATCCTCACACACACACAAAATGTTCCCCAGACGTTACACACACCTACCCACACTCAAGAGTGCACACCTACACATGTGTACACACAACATACAGGTATGAACGCACAACCACACGTACAGAACCATACAGACGCCGACGCTACGTGTGCGCACTCACGCACCCCAGGTCCACAGACCAATGCAAACACATTCCTAAGTACAAAGAAGGGCTTCCCTGGTGGCGCAGTGGTTGAGAGTCCGCCTGCCGATGCAGGGGACACGGGTTCGTGCCCCGGTCCGGGAGGATCCCACGTGCCGCGGAGCGGCTGGGCCCTTGAGCCATGGCCGCTGAGCCTGCGCGTCCGGAGCCTGTGCTCCGCAACGGGAGAGGCCACGGCGGGGAGAGGCCCGCGTACAGCAAAAAAATTAAAAATAAGTACAAAGAAGCACGTACACACATTCAGGAACATACACGAATGCACACTCAGGCAGAAGCCAGGCACACATGTTCACGCATGCTGACCGCGCCCTGAGCTTAGGTGTCTGTCCACCTGCGATGCCTGCTTTACGCCGCCAGGTGGTGGCCTGCAGAGCTGCTGGGGCCCCCTGCAAAGATGCGGTGTGGCCGTCCGTACTCGCGCCATCTGCCCCGAGGAGCCACCCCTCCACCCTCCAAGTGGCTGTGCCCCGCAGCCCTGTCTTGGAGCCCGCGGCCCCCTGCCAGTTCCGCTCAAACCTGAGCACAGGCCTTTCCCCAACGAGTGCAGGGCTGCAGGTGGGCAGGGCCGGGGCGAGGGTGGGCCCGGCCCTGTGGGGCCCACAGTGGAGCCGTGTCAGGCTGCACCCGGAGCCTGCCTACTCCCGTGGCAGGTTGCTTCCGGGCAGGAGGGGGTCTTGGGCCTGGGGGCAGCCTCTTTGCAAACTCCCAGACCCAGCCTTCCCTCTGTCCCAGGGCTTCCCAGCACGAGAGCTGCAGACATACAGAGCTACATGGACATGCTGAGCCCAGAGCAGGGCCTGCCCCGGAGCAGGATGGAGAGACCCAAAGCACCACCGCCACCACCCAGCTTCCCTCCACCGTTCTCACCCCCAGGCACCCAGCTGCCCCCACCCCCGCCAGGCTACCCAGCTCCCAAGCCCCCCGCGGGGCTGCAAGCAGCTGACATCTACACGCAGACAAAGAACAAACTCCGCCATGTGGAGACCGAGGCCTTCAAGAAGGAGGTAGTGAGCCCTCCCCAACCTGCCTGCCCTCTGGCCCTGGGAGTGGGCTGATGCGGGGGCAGCAGAGGCCAACAAGTGGCCCGGGCTCGTGGGTACGGGGCGGGCGGCAGGGGCGGGGGGAGGTGGTCCCTGGTCCAATGGCCTGTTCAGGAGTCAAAGCTTCCGGTCAGCCCCCTGGCGGCTCAGGGCTGAGCACTGGGGACAGAGAGATGAGGAAGACAAAGCCAGCACCCTTTGGGGACTTGGGGGGCAGGGCGGGGGGAAGGAACATATACCCAGATAGCCATGCCTCTCCGGGAGCTGGGTCCTCGCCACCTCTTGCACAGAGTGGCAGGGAGCTCGTGGAATCGGCAGAGAATATGTGCAAACTGCCTGCCTCTCCACAGGCGTACACGTGCCCAGCTCCGGGCTCAAGTGGAGAAAGGGTCCTAAGGGAGTGTCTTCAGGTGGGAGATGCAGGCAGTGTGAAGGTGAGGGCTGGGAGGAGGGTGGAGGCCAGGGGAGGGGGCACCCGCAGGGCTCAGCACCCTCTCAGCGTTGGGGGCTGGATGCGGGGGTAACATGGAGGCTGGCTCCCCAGTTTGGTGCTTCAGCTCCCAGGTGGGTAGACAAGCCAGTCCTGAGATGGGCACCCTGGGGAGAAGCAAGCTTGTAAGAAGGGGCCCAATCCGGTGTGGGCACTTTGAGTGTGGGGTGCCCGGATGCAGGGCCTGTGGGTTCCTGGCTGAGGCTTTGGAGCAGAGGAGGGGGCAGAGGGCTGGTCTGCACAGCTCTGAGAGTCCTGGGCAAGGAGGCCCAGTGGAAGCCCTGGGGTTCTGGCCAAGAGGACAGAGGGAGGCTGGTCTGAGGCCGCAGGGGAGGGCAGCCTGAGGCCCCAGGTGGCTGAGTGTGGGATAGAGCCCCCCTAGGGTCCTGTGGGAACTCAGATAGAGCCCCCCTAGGGTCCTGTGGGAACCCTGACCTTGTAGTTCTCTCTCGAGCCCAAGGCAAGCTGCTCCAGGGCCAAGCTCAGTAAACAGTTCCCACAGGTGACCCACATCGCCGGGCCACCGGCTGGGGGAAGGGGAGGACACAGCTCCACTGCAAGTCTTCTTGCTACCTCAGACCAGGCTCTCAGTGGGTTCCTCTTTCATCTCCAGGAGGTGAAGGCGGCCCAGGAGAGGCCTGCAGGGGGCCTAGGGCCAGCGGACTTTGCAGGCCAGGCCTGTGGGCCCTGCCCCAAGCCACAGGACAGGCGGCCCGGGCTGCGGCCCCTCCCCTGAGCCAGAACACCAGGACTGCGAGGTCCCCGTGCCTCTCCCGTTGTGTGCGTGCCCGGCGGCAGGCGCTGGGCCGCTCCACAAGGGCCCTTTGTGTGCCCCGCGCCGCCCCCCCCCCGCCCCACTCCCCGGCTTTTTCTGGACCGCGGGCAGGAGCAGGGTCGTGGCGTCCGCGCCTCGGGGCTGCAGGGGGCGCCGAGGGGGCAGGCTGGCCCAGAAAACAAATCCCGCGGTGTCGCGTTTCCTTGCAACGTGCGCCCGGCCGGGTGGGGCTTGGAGGGTCCGGGGCCACCTTGGGGACGCTCGGACCGGGGGTGGGGCAGGGGACAGCCCCTGCCAGGTGACTTGGCCTTTGGCCCTTGCGCCTCCTGTCTTTCTTCCCGGGCTGGGCTTAGTCGGGGGCAGATGCGACGGAGTGGGCTGCCCGCGCTGTCACCCGAGCCTGGCCTGCCGCCCCTGAAACCCGAGGCTTGGGCGCGGGTGTCGGTGTCCTTTACGCAGCCGGCGATGGTTTCCAGATGCGGAAGGGAAAGGGCGGGGGCGTGACCCGGAACCCGGGGGGCCAGACGTGGGGGGCTGCACTGCCCGTGGTGAGGCCCAAATTCTGTCTCTGGCGGATGGAGGGGGTGAGTGGGGGGATGAAGCCTGGGGTGCTCAGCCCAGGATGGAGGGAGAGAGGCGCAGGGGGGCGGGACCACATCTGGCCTGCGGGGTAGGCGCGGCGCAGCAGCCAGGTGTTGGCGGAGCAGTGGGCGCCCCCGTGGCATTCCCGGCTGCTGGGGGTTTCGGCCCGGGATTGGCAGGCCCTGGGTGATGTCAGGCCGACAGAGCTCTCAGGCGCTCATAGGCGCGGGCGGGCGGGCTGGGCTGGGCTGTAACCTGAGAGGAAGGATCAGGTAGCGCAGGTGTCGAGTCCTTGCCGCCCCCGCTGCCAGGTGCACAGCGGGGGCCACCGGCACGGTCGCAGGTAGGAGCAGCCCCAGGCCGGGACCGGGCGGCTGAGGGCCCTGGGCAAGCAGTGGACTTCCTCGGGGCGGAACTCCCGCAAGAGAGGGTTGCGCGAAGCCTTGGTTTCGCGTGGGACCGTCCGGTCGCCGGGAGTGGGGTACGGCTGAGGCCTTAGCGCTGCCTAAGCTGGGAGCTACCCCTTCTCCAGCTCCCCCTGGCGTTTGGGCTGGGCCACCCCGCCCCTCGGCCCGCCCCTTCTAGCCACAGTGGGGGCCCCTGCGCCCCTTGGCCCGCGCCCAGAACCCCTCCCTGTGGGGCCGACCGAGAGTGCCCTTTCACCGAGGCCCGCAGGACCCTCGCCCCATCCCCGCTCTGAGAACAGAAGGGTCTGGGACCGCGGCTGGCCGCGAGCCCCCGGAAGGTTAAGAGCTGGGGAGGCGGGGAGAGGGATGTGGGAGGCGGAAGGGACAAGTGTCCGAAGCTCACTCCGCCCGCTGTCTTCCCGCAGCTGAGCTCCCGCGACGGCCGCAACGGGCTGCGGAGGCAGGACTCCAGCCGCAAGCCCCGCGCCTTCAGCAAGCAGCCCAGCACGGGGGACTACTACCGCCAGCTGGGCCGCTACCCCGGGGAGCCGCTGGCCGCGCGCCCGGGCATGGCGCACAGCGAGGAGGTGCGTGCCCGCCAGCCCGCACCCGCCGGCCGCCCGGGACCCGGCCAGGCCGCCCGCGTCTCACTCGCTGGCCCCTCCGCTCCCCCGCAGGCGGCGCTGCTCCCCGGGAACCACTTGCACAACGGCTGCGGCGCGGACCCCAAGACGTCCAGGGAGCTGCCCCCGCCGCCCCCGCCGCCGCCGCCCCTGCCCGAGGCCCTGAGCTCGCCGCCGCCGCCCGCTCCTCCTCTGCCCTTCGAGGGCTCTGGCCCTGGCTGCGGGCAGCGTCGCTCCTCCTCGTCTACTGGCAGTGAGTAGGGGCGGGTTGAGGGGTGGGGGGCGGCGCTAGCCCTGAAGCGGGAGAGAAACCAAGACCCCCTCCTCCCCCCCCCCCCGCCCCGCTCCGGGCGGCTGCCACTGCCCTGGTGCTTCCTCTTTTCCTCTTTGATCTTTCTGCACCCACCCCACCCCAATGAGGACTTGACCCTAAGGGGAGGCTTGGGGTTGCTTTAGGTGGCGCGGCGCAGCAGCCAGGTGTTGGCGGAGCAGTGGGCGCCCCCGTGGCATTCCCGGCTGCTGGGGGTTTCGGCCCGGGATTGGCAGGCCCTGGGTGATGTCAGGCCGACAGAGCTCTCAGGCGCTCATAGGCGCGGGCGGGCGGGCTGGGCTGGGCTGTAACCTGAGAGGAAGGATCAGGTAGCGCAGGTGTCGAGTCCTTGCCGCCCCCGCTGCCAGGTGCACAGCGGGGGCCACCGGCACGGTCGCAGGTAGGAGCAGCCCCAGGCCGGGACCGGGCGGCTGAGGGCCCTGGGCAAGCAGTGGACTTCCTCGGGGCGGAACTCCCGCAAGAGAGGGTTGCGCGAAGCCTTGGTTTCGCGTGGGACCGTCCGGTCGCCGGGAGTGGGGTACGGCTGAGGCCTTAGCGCTGCCTAAGCTGGGAGCTACCCCTTCTCCAGCTCCCCCTGGCGTTTGGGCTGGGCCACCCCGCCCCTCGGCCCGCCCCTTCTAGCCACAGTGGGGGCCCCTGCGCCCCTTGGCCCGCGCCCAGAACCCCTCCCTGTGGGGCCGACCGAGAGTGCCCTTTCACCGAGGCCCGCAGGACCCTCGCCCCATCCCCGCTCTGAGAACAGAAGGGTCTGGGACCGCGGCTGGCCGCGAGCCCCCGGAAGGTTAAGAGCTGGGGAGGCGGGGAGAGGGATGTGGGAGGCGGAAGGGACAAGTGTCCGAAGCTCACTCCGCCCGCTGTCTTCCCGCAGCTGAGCTCCCGCGACGGCCGCAACGGGCTGCGGAGGCAGGACTCCAGCCGCAAGCCCCGCGCCTTCAGCAAGCAGCCCAGCACGGGGGACTACTACCGCCAGCTGGGCCGCTACCCCGGGGAGCCGCTGGCCGCGCGCCCGGGCATGGCGCACAGCGAGGAGGTGCGTGCCCGCCAGCCCGCACCCGCCGGCCGCCCGGGACCCGGCCAGGCCGCCCGCGTCTCACTCGCTGGCCCCTCCGCTCCCCCGCAGGCGGCGCTGCTCCCCGGGAACCACTTGCACAACGGCTGCGGCGCGGACCCCAAGACGTCCAGGGAGCTGCCCCCGCCGCCCCCGCCGCCGCCGCCCCTGCCCGAGGCCCTGAGCTCGCCGCCGCCGCCCGCTCCTCCTCTGCCCTTCGAGGGCTCTGGCCCTGGCTGCGGGCAGCGTCGCTCCTCCTCGTCTACTGGCAGTGAGTAGGGGCGGGTTGAGGGGTGGGGGGCGGCGCTAGCCCTGAAGCGGGAGAGAAACCAAGACCCCCTCCTCCCCCCACCCCCGCCCCGCTCCGGGCGGCTGCCACTGCCCTGGTGCTTCCTCTTTTCCTCTTTGATCTTTCTGCACCCACCCCACCCCAATGAGGACTTGACCCTAAGGGGAGGCTTGGGGTTGCTTTAGGTCCTGCCAGAGCAGGACAGGGCTGTGTGACCTGGGGCAAGTCCCCTTCCCTCTCTGGCCCTGCCCTCCACCCAGTAGGGAAGGCCTCCCAGCTCTGGTGGCTGCTGTTTCTGATGAGCTGGTGGTGCTAGAGGGAAGCTCAGAGGAGTGGAATTCGCTTCAGGGAGGCAGGGTTGCTGGCCAACCTTCCTGCCCCACATCTATCCTGAGTCACTCTTGCACTCCTGGCTGCTTTCTCTTGTTCTCCCAAGCTAGCTACGGCCCGGGCATGGCTATAGGGTCAAGGCCAGTAACCCATCAGGGCCTGGCTATAGGGTCAAGGCCAGTAACCCATCAGGGCCTGGCTATAGGGTCAAGGCCAGTAACCCATCAGGGCCTGGCTATAAGGGTCAAGGCCAGTAACCCATCATATTCTGCCCTCCCCCTCCTGGTGAATCCCCGAGCATCCTTTTTTAAGAGCTAGACTGGTGACCAGGGTTCCTGGGCTTCTCTTCTGAAACGCGGGACAGTCTCCTGCCCGCCAGGGCTCCTGGAAGGCCCAGGAGGTGGTATCTGGGTGCTGATGCTTCCACTCCAGCCTGGCAGGGGGTGGCCGAGCTGCTTTCCTCACGCAGCCACTCGGTTCGGGGACCGTGCTTAGTGGTAGCATCCATAGCTTCATTTCCCTGACTAGGGATGCAAGGCTGCAGTAGCGTCTAGGGTAGGGCCAGCCTGGGCTCCTTGGGGTACCTATGGAGCCGCAGCCCCTGCAGACCAGAGCCCATGGTAGCCTGTCCACCGTCAGCTGAGCCTCCAGAAAGGCCCCCAACTTTGAGGTCAGTGCCTTCCCTTGGCAGCCTGGAGCAAGGCTGAAACTAGGAACAGAAGAAAAATAGACTCTGGGCTTCTCCAGACACCCCTTCGCAGCAGAGCCTGGGCTGGGTGCCCTATCCCATCCCAATGCCAAGATTGAGGCCCTCGCTAGGGGGGCCAGGGCCAATGGCAGCCCAGCCCAGCCCTCAGCACCAACAAAGCTGGGAACTGAGCGGACCACCCTTGAGGAGCCCCAGAGCAGCCTGAGCCAGGGTCAGACGGACCGGAAAGCTCCTCCTCTCACCCCCCACCCCCCCC